AATACCAGTACAGCTGTAATACCAGTACAGCTGTAATACCAGTACAGCTGTAATACCATAAAATACCAGGACAGTCGAAATACCAGTACAGCTGTAATACCAGTACAGCTGTAATACCAGTACAGCTGTAATACCAGTACAGCTGTAATACCAGTACAGCTGTAATACCAGTACAGCTGTAATACCAGTTACCAGTACAGCTGTAGTACAGCTGTAATACTGGAACTCTAACAACCTTCCACATTCTGAAATATTCTGAGATATTCTCTACACAACAAGAAGAATTTCTAACATTCATGGTACCATTCATAGTACAAAAAAAAAAAAAAAAAAAAAAAACATAGATTGAATATATTACAAAAATAAAACTAAGAACAGATGCAGAATACTCCTTACACGTGCACAGGTCTGAAATATTTTATACACAACCGCACACAACAAGAAGAATTTTTTTTTTCATGGTAATTCATAGTACAAAAAAAAAAAAAAAACAACGATTGAATATATTACAAAAATAAACTAAGAACAGATGCAGAATACTGTGCACAGGTCTGAAATATTCTATACATTTTTTTTTTAACAATCATGGTACCATAGACTGAATATATTACGAAAAGAAATCTCAGAACAGCTGTAGAATACTCCTTATAAGGGCACAGGTGTGGAGATCGGGAGTCGAATGACCGGACGAAATCGGGTACTCGCCGACCACGACTCCGGATGTCTTGAAGGTTGTGTCGGATTGTCGGGGTCGGTTGAGGCGAAGGTTGATTCGGGTTTCGGGTCCGGTTGAGGCCGCGAAGGTTGTGTCGGATTCGGGGTTTCGGGGTCGGTTGAGGGAAGGTTGAGGCGAAGGTTGTGTCGATTCGGGTTTCGGGGTCCGGTTGAGGGGAAGGTTGAGGCGAAGGTTGTGTCGGATTCGGGTTTCGGCGAAGTCCGTTCGAGGGGAAGGTTGAGGCGAAGGTTGTGTCGGATTCGGGTTTCGGGGTCCGGTTGAGGCGAAGGTTGTGTCGGATTCGGGGGGTCCGGTTGGGGAAGGTTGAGGCGAAGGTTGTGTTCGGATTCGGGTTTGGGGTCCGGTTGAGGCGAAGGTTGTGTCGGATTCGGGTTCGGGGGTTGGGCGAAGGTTGTGTCGGATTCGGGGTCCGGTTGAGGCGAAGGTTGTGTCGGATTCGGGGTCCGGTTGAGGCGAAGGTTGTGTCGGATTCGGGGTCGCGGTTGAGGCGGGTTGTGTCGGATTCGGGGTTCGGTTGAGGCGAAGGTTGTGTCGGATTCGGGGTCCGGTTGAGGCGAAGGTTGTGTCGGATTCGGGTTTCGGGGTCCGGTTGAGGCGAAGGTTGTGTCGGATTCGGGGTTCCGGTTGAGGCGAGGTTGTCGGATTCGGGTTCGGGGTTCGGGTTGAGGCGAAGGTTGTGTCGGATTCGGGGTCCGGTTGAGGCGAAGGTTGTGTCGGATTCGGGGGTCCGGTTTGAGGCGAAGGTTGTGTCGGATTCGGGGTCGGTTGAGGCGAAGGTTGTGTCGGATTCGGGGTCCGTTGAGGCCGCGGTTTCGGGGTCCGGTTGAGGCGAAGGTTGTGTCGGATTCGGGGTCCGGTTGAGGCGAAGGTTGAGTCGGATTCGGGGTCCGGTTGAGGCGAAGGTTGTGTCGGATTCGGGGTCCGGTTGAGGAAGGTTGTGTCGGATTCGGGTCCGGTTGAGGCGAAGGTTGTGTCGGATTCGGGGTCCGGTTGAGGCGAAGGTTGTGTCGGATTCGGGTCCGGTTGAGGCGAAGGTTGTGTCGGATTCGGGGTCCGGTTGAGGCGAAGGTTGAGTCGGATTCGGGGTCCGGTTGAGGCGAAAGGTTGAGTCGGATTCGGGTCCGGTTGAGGCGAAGGTTGTGTCGGATTCGGGGTCCGGTTGAGGCGAAGGTTGAGTCGGATTCGGGGTCCGGTTGAGGCGAAGGTTGTGTCGGATTCGGGGTCGGTTGAGGCGAAGGTTGAGTCGGATTCGGGGTCGGTTGAGGCGAAGGTTGTGTCGGATTCGGGGTCCGGTTGAGGCGAAAGGTTGTGTCGGATTCGGGGTCGGTTGAGGCGAAGGTTGGTTCGGATTCGGGGTCCGGTTGAGGCGAAGGTTGTCGGATTCGGGGTCCGGTTGAGGCGAAGGTTGTGTCGGATTCGGGTCGGTTTGAGGCGAAGGTTGATTCGGCGGAGGCGAAGGTTGTGTCGGATTCGGGGTCCGGTTGAGGCGAAGGTTGTGTCGGATTCGGGGTCCGGTTGAGGCGAAGGTTGTGTCGGATTCGGGTCCGGTTGAGGCGAAGGTTGTGTCGGATTCGGGTCCGGTTGAGGCGAAGGTTGAGTCGGATTCGGGGTTCGGTTGAGGCGAAGGTTGTCGGATTCGGGGTCGGTTGAGGCGAAGGTTGTGTCGGATTCGGGGTCGGATTCCGGTTGAGGCGAAGGGTCCGGATTCGGGTCCGGTTGAGGCGAAGGTTGTGTCGGATTCGGGGTCGGTTGAGATCGGGTCCGGTTGAGGCGAGGTTCGGATTCGGGGTCCGGTTGAGGCGAAGGTTGTGTCGGATTCGGGGTCCGGTTGAGGCGAAGGTTGAGTCGGATTCGGGGTCCGGTTGAGGCGAAGGTTGTGTCGGATTCGGGGTCCGGTTGAGGCGAAGGTTGTGTCGGATTCGGGGTCGAGGCGAAGGTTGTGTCGGATTCGGGGTCCGGTTGAGGCGAAGGTTGTGTCGGATTCGGGGTTCCGGTTGAGGCGAAGGTTGTGTCGGATTCGGGGTCCGGTTGAGGCGAAGGTTGGTCGGATTCGGGTCCGGTTGAGGCGAAGGTTGTGTCGGATTCGGGGTCCGGTTGAGGCGAAGGTTGTGTCGGATTCGGGGTCGGTTGAGGCGAAGGTGTGTGTCGGGTGTCGGATTCGGGGTCCGGTTGAGGCGAAGGTTGTGTCGGATTCGGGGGTTGAGGCGAAGGTTGTGTCGGATTCGGGTCCGGTTGAGGCGAAGGTTGTGTCGGATTCGGGGTCCGGTTGAGGCGAAGGTTGTGTCGTTCGGATTCGGATTCGGGTCCGGTTGAGGCGAAGGTTGTGTCGGATTCGGGTCGGTTGAGGCGGAAGGTTGGTGTCGGATTCGGGGTCGGTGAGTTGAGTCGGATTCGGGGTCCGGTTGAGGCGAAGGTTGATTCGGATTCGGGTCCGGATGGGCGAAGGTTGTGTCGGATTCGGGGTTTCGTTGAGGCGGATTCGGGGTTCGGATTCGGAGCGAAGAGTTGTGTCGGATTCGGGTCCGGTTGAGGCGAAGTTGATGTCGATTCGGGGTCCGGTTGAGGCGAAGGTTGTGTCGGATTCGGGTGGTTCGTTGAGGCCGAAAGGTTGTGTCGGATTCGGGGTCGGTCGAAGTTGAGGGGTCGGTTGAGGCGAAGTTGTGTCGGGATGTCGGGTCCGGTTGAGCGAAGGTTGGTCGGATTCGGGGTCCGTTGAGTCGCGAAGGTTGTGTCGGATTCGGGGTCCGTTGAGGCGAAGGTTGTGTCGGATTCGGGGTTCGGTTGAGGCGAAGGTTGTGTCGGATGTCGGGGTCCGGTTGAGGCGAAGGTTGAGTCGGATTCGGGGTCCGGTTGAGGCGAANTTGTCATGTTGATGATGGTAAAATGCAATTATGAAATGTTGATTGTTTAGCTTGTTGAAATAAGCGTACGATTTAATTATTTTTCCTTTCTTTCTTTCTTTCTTTTTACATAATTTCAGAATTTTCGTATAAGTACTATGGAATCGGATAAAGATCATTAGTATAGGTATTTTAACTGTAGCGTGAAAAGTATTTGAATTTCTATTTGACTTTTAATGAATCAGTATTTAGTCCAACAATTAACACCATCCGGAAAGGTTAGCGCTTCACTGTCACCTCCTGTGTCTACATCGCCTGAGGGAGCAGCTGCTACCGCTCCTGAGCCTGGTTTGCCCAGGAGTCTCTCCCCTCGAGCAAGTCCTGCGAACTCATACATACATACACACATACATATTTATATATGTATAGATACATGTATATTCATATATATATATACAAATATATAAATATGTGTGTATTTGTGTTTTGTGTGTACATGGATTAACACACACACATACGCACGCACGCACACACACACACACACACACACACACACACACACACACACACACACACACACACACACACACACACACACACACACACACACACACACACACACACACACACACACACATATATATATATATATATATATATATATATATATATATATGTGTGTGTGTGTGTGTGTGTGTGTGTGTGTGTGTACATACATACACACACGCACACATACCTGACTGTAAGTTTAGTCTGCGTGAACGTGTTCCACGCGCAAAAAATTTCAGCCTTGTTCCCGTCCGCGCAAAAAAAAAAAAAAAAAAAAATCTGCGGCTTATTTCTGCTCAGATTTTTCGAACGGTTTTGGTTGTTTGTTTGATTGTTATTTTTAGAACTTTGTGGTCTCTCGGCTTTCCACCAGTTTTACCTAAGCCTGTTCACGACACAAAGGACAGGAACAAGAAAGATACACATGATGATATTGACAATATTTTTGGTGATTTTTTCCAGGGTTCTCCGCGCATTTGAAAAACTTTACAGGCTGGTGTTTGTATATATATATATATATATATATATATATATATATATATATATAGTATATATATATATATATATATATATAATATGTGTGTGTGTGTGGTGTGTGTGTGTGTGTGTGTGTGTGTGTGTGTGTGTGTGTGTGTATTACATGTTTCTATACATATACATATATCTATCTCTATCTCTCTCTCTATATAATTATGTATATATATATATATATATATATATATATATATGCTGTATGTGTGTGTGTGTGTCTGTGTGTATCACTTTTTTACTATTCATATTTCGTTTCCTTTTATTTTTGCATTCATATGTGTGTGTGAATGTATGTGTGTTTGAAATTATGCAATAGGGATGATATTCATCAGCCGACAAACCTTGAGCGTGTCGTGACCTTGGCTCGCCTTCACAAGGCCTGGCTGAGGTCGAGTCAGGTCGGGGGTCGCAGCCGTCGAGACACTTCGCCTGAAGTACAATTTCAGATTAGCTACTTTGATGTGATTGTCGTGGGAAGGCTGTGCAAATAGCTTATGTTTTTGCATGCACAA